CAGAGACTCCAACTAAAAAAAAAAAAAAAGTTTCCACTGAGAAATGCCAATTGTAAAATCAAAAACACCAAATTCATCAACAGGTTCAGGAAAGGCTGATGAGGCTTCCTGCTATACACAGAGTCCTGACAACCACAGTACAGGAGGGCCCTGGTAGCTTGAATTTACATTCAAATGACTAAATTAAAAGTACTTTTTTTTTTTTTTTTTTTGAGTCAGAATCTCACTCTGTCGCCCAGACTGGAATGCAGTGGCCGCTCCCGGCCATCGCAGCCTCGACCTGCTGGGCTCCGGCGATCCTTCCGCCTCAGCCTTCCAAGTAGCGGAACTACAGGTGCGCGCTACCACGCCTGGCGAATTTTTTGATTTATTGTAGAGATGAGGTCTCGTCAAGCTGCCCAGGCAGGTCTCGAACCTGCGGGCTCAGGCATAAAAGTACTTTTCACCAACCAAGGACAGGATGAACCCTCAAAACACAATAAACAGGAGGGTAGAGAGCTATGTAGTTAACACATCTAATATCTCTTTAGTTAAAATATACCTGAATGTTAAGTCCATCTCTATACTCAGAATAGTAACTTTGCTGCTCTTGCAACAAAAGAAGGAACTAAGAGCTTCCCCCAAATTTTGCTTTTCAAAAGTACCCAGGTTATTATCTCTCAGGAGGTTGTCCTGTATCTGAGCACCCCAGTAAAGAGTTCCTCCTCATTGCAGCTTGCTCACCTGTTAATCACCAGCCCACCTTCCCTCTAGGGAGGGCCCACCAATCACTGGGCTTCCCCTTTCTCCATTCCTGCAGGGTTATCTTGGACTTCTCCTTTTCTCTCTTATCCAATCATTCCACAAGTTCTATTGATTCATCTTTGATTCATCCAACCTTTCCATTCTATCTGATCCTTATCTTAATCTGATCCTTACCTCGTGATAGTAGTTAACTCAGTCTCCTTGCCTCTTTCCCATCCAACCACAAACACAAATATCCCATTATATTAATTCTATCTTAAAACTTTCATTTATAATATTGCCCTGCCTAACAATGACTTTCCACTGTCTATAGGTAGATAAAATTCAGCAACTTGGCATTTAAAAATACTCATAATCTGTTCTCAAATTCTATACTCACACCAATGGTCATTTATTTTAACCAACTGCTATTTGCCCTAACTTCTTTAACACTCACACAAAGAATAACCATGAGAATAAGATATAGGACGAACTTGAAAAAAATTAAAGAAAAATTTAAAGATAGGAAAACGTAATTACACCTTTTTGACAGCCAAGGGGTGGAAATGGGGTGAAGGAAATTGAGGAAAAATATAATCAGTTTGTTGTTTCTAACCAAACAACTTCTGAAGCTTAACTTTGAACTATAGGCTCTTGGTCTAATTTTTCATTCTATCAAACATATAAATAGGTATGCAATTACAGTGGTATTTTAAAGTTCTTGACTGCTGATGCTCACATTTATTTCTTAGTCTAAGAGAACTCTCTAGGAATAGTAAAAAAAAAAAACTCAGAAATCCTCAGTAATTAATAATTACTAAACTAAAAACAATATCAAAAACTAATATCATTACAGTTGATGATGTTTTAAAGATGAATAGATAGCTCTGAAAAAAACTTAAAGAAATACAAAATGACAGGGTCAGCACCTTAAACCACTAACTGGTCACTGATAAAATATTTCCTATATGAATTTTTTTTCAAAAAAAAAGGCAAAATGAGATTTCAAGGGTATCATAATTTGGCAAAACATTAACATTCTCCATCTTCAGCAATAAACACTGATTCATACACACAATCTATTTCCAATGCCTTTAGGAATATGAACATAGAATACAAAATGGAAAAGGATTCATGAGTGAAAATTAATATATTATAAAAACTATTAATTTTTAAAATGCAAAGTTCAAGATAATCACCTGCGACTGTTCTATTTCTGCTTTGTTTAATTTTATTCCAAGGATTTCAGCAGCAACTTTCTGAAAACACAGGAAGACCTACATAACAAAAATAGGTTTAAATGATTTTAAACAGGCATGTTTAAGTTACCTTCAAATAAATTAAATTTTCTAAAAAATGATAAACAGCAAGAATTACAAAAATATAATGTAGGAAGTGATCCAAAATAGCTTTATTTGTCAAATATAGAGACATTTTACATGTAATAATTCTTAAATGGTTAAACTATAATTTGAAAATCCATGTAATTCACTGACTTGTTCTACATTACATTATCTATAAAAACATACATTTTTAAAGATTTAATATGAAAATTACAGCTATCACTTTAAAAAATGACAAAACACCACCACCACCAACAAAACACATCTATTAGGATTTTAAAAACTCCCATAATAAAAATAATTTGATCTACTTTATGAACACAGTTTTTCACTGTCGATTCTATGTTGGTCTTTTGAGCTGGCTTCAGCCTGTCTTAAAAGATCTTACTTTGCAGCCCTTCAAAAATCTTTGTAGCTTTTGTACCAATTTCAGCAAATTCTCTATATTTCTTGAGAAAAGAAATTTGAGTACTCTTTACTATATTTTAACCATTCAGAGTAAAGTAAAAATACATTCCACTATAGTTAAAAATCTACAAACATTATTCTATAAAAAGCCTTAGTTAGCTTATGCTAAGTCCACTACAATTGCTAGAGCTCCAATTCTGACATTTACTATAGCACAATTTATCTTTGCTTAACAAATGTCCTACCATATTAGTATCCTCACTTATCTAATGATTACTTACTGAATATTAATCACAACTGAACTATTTTAATTTTTATCTCTAGTAAAAAAATAAATGCATATCCCTGAAAGGCTTGTGCTGTTTGTATTCCAAAAGCGTAATATATTTTAGTTAGTTCAATGATGGCTGATGTTCAAGGAACAACAGGAAAAATATTGTGGTGAAGAGAAAGAGAGTGATTATAAAAGCAATTGAGCCAAGTGATAGAGGAAATACAAAGCTTACAGGGTCTGGCAGGCCACTGGAAGGACTATGACATGTACTCTGAGTGAATGGAAGGCATAAGAGGGTAACCTGATGTGACTTTATTTTAACAGACTCAATCTGGTTGTTGCACTGAGAATTCACTGCAGATGATCAAACGTACAAAAGAGAGAAATCACCAAGGAAACTAAAGTAAGAGATTAAGGTGGTTGAATCAAAGTAGCAGAAATGGAGGTAGTAAGAGGCAGTCACTAGGTTCTGGATATAAATATAAATGTATTTTGAAAGTAAAGCCAACAGGACTTGGTGATAAATGTGTAGTGTGAGAGAACAGTCAACGATGACTCTCAAATTTTCTTGGCCTGAGAAGCTGGTAGAATAGATCTGCTATTTATTGAAGTGAGGAAGACCATGAGAGATTTGAGGAAGGAATATGAAGAGCTCAGATATAGATGTGCTAAAGTGGGCAACCTGTTAGACATCTAAATAGAGATGCTGAGCAGACAGTTGGATATGGGTCTGGAGTTCAGGGAAGAAGTCTAGGCAAAGTCATGAGACTAAATCAAGCTGCAAAGGGAGTAAGTATAGAAAAAGAGATATCCAAGGATGGAACCCTAAAGCACTCCAATATTTAAAGGTTGGAGAGATAAGAAGGAATCAGCCAAGGGGACTGAAGAGACTAATTAATGAAGTAGAAGGAAAACCAAGAGAAATACAGAAGCTAAGTGCCAAAAGTATTTCAAAGAATAGAGAGTGATCAGCTATTTTATATGGTGCTTCTAAATCAAGTAAAGATGAGGACTGCAAACTGAACATTGGATTCGGTAAAAGAGAGGTCACTGGTGACCTGGATAACAGCAGTTTGGGTATATAGGGGCAAAAATCTGTTGTAATTGTTAAACAGAAATTGAGAGGAAAGAAACTGGAGATAGAGCCGGGCTCGGTGGCTCAGCCTGTAATCCCACACCTTTGGGAGACTGAGGTGAGTGGATGGCCTGAGCCCGCGGGTTCGAGACCCGCCTGGGCAGCAAGACCTCATCTCTACAATAAATCAAAAAATCAACCAGGCATGGTAGCGCGCACCTGTAATTCCAGCTACTCCGAAGGCTGAGGCGGAAGGATCACCGGAGCCCAGCAGGTCGAGGCTGCGGTGGCCAGGAGCGGCCACTGCACTCCAGTCTGGGTGACAGAGTGAGACTCTGACTCAAAAAAAAAAAAGAAAGAAACTGGAGATAACTCTTTCAAAACATCCTGCTGGCAAGTAAAGAAATAAGTCAATAGCTAGAGAAAGACATGGGAACAAGAGTTTTATTGTTGCTTTTAAGATAAGAGAAATCATAATACTTTGTATTATGAAAGAATAATCCAGTAGATGGAAAAAAGTTATTACAAAAAAAAGAGAAAATTGCTAAAGCAATATCATTAATTAGGCAAAGAGAAATAGGACTAGTGCACAAGAGAGGAGTTGGCCCTCACCAGGAGAACAGCTCACACTGTAACCACAGAGAAGAGACAGAGGACAGAAGAAGAGATGTGGAGGGGGAGATAAGGGTAGGAGCAGTATGTGGAAGTTATCTTCTGTTTGTTTCATTTTTCTTATAAAATATATAGGAAACAAAGTCATCAGCTGAGATAATAGGGAGGATGTTTTGAGCATCTGAAGAGAGAAGATAATCTATGAAATAGCCATCCAGGTGAGGTGGAGAGATAATAGACTGGGGATATAGGGTATAGTTACCAAGCAGCATTAAAGGGCCCACTTGAGGTTAGTGATTGTGAATTTAAAGTGAAACCTCAGCAAGCCTTTGTGTTTTTCTCATGTTAATGGTGCAGTCATAGATAAGTGGAAGTTTGGGTTAAACCAGAATTAAAGTTACCCATAAAGTGAAAAAAGGGACAGGGATTTAAGGATAGATGCATAGCGATGATTTGACTAGCCATGAGATATAAGTTAGAAAGAGAAGAAAACATAATACATAAAAGGAAGTTGGGGGTTTTGAGAAGGTATTAGGATCAATGTCTTGTAGGTCCTGTTAAGGCTGAAGAATGCATTCAAGGGTGTGAGACAGAGATGATTAGTGGTTAGTGATTAGGATGTCCAGTAATGAGATAATAGAAGGGCAACAGTAATCTGTAACCGCAAGATCAGTAGTAAACACGGGTGTGAGAGGCCGAGGCAGGATCCAGGACAAACAGCGATACTGAAATCACTAACAACAGATATAACATTAGAAAAAGTACAATAAGCCAGGAGCTCAACTCCTCAAGCAATGAAAGGAAATAACCTGGCTGGAGACAATTACAAGTCTTAAGATGATTCCACAAGAAAAAAACATTTCAAAGATCATCAAAGAAAAAAATGAGGTCTTTTATTAGTGGTTCAACATAAGCTGAAATACTGAGAGTTTCAACACAAGCTAAAATACTGGAAGTTAAACAAATTCTAAAATGACAAAAGACCCCCCCAGGAAGATAACTGAGAATAGAAGCCCAGTCAATGAATAAATTTATCAAGACTTACTGATACTGTATTTTTTTAATGACATGTATGGGTATATGCCCATGGTCATATTATCCTGGGGGAAAGGGTTCCAGCAGGACAAATTTTTTAATGAGCCTGACCCCTAAAAAGATGAAGCACCTTTTACATTATTGAATGTTTATCTTGGGCATAAAAATGATGAAGGAAAAACTATAAAGGAAAAACATCAGAAACATTATATCAGAAAAATTTCAAACTTTTTGGTTGAGAAATGTCAAGAAAATCAACAAATAAAAATGGGACAGTGAGAGAAATATTTGTAAAAATTATTACACAGGGCTGTCATCCCTTATGATATGGTTCTAGAAATTTTTTAAAAGCAAAAGAAGATTATAAACATGTAATAAAAAGAAAATAATAGCTAATAAAACTTTTTAAATTTCAACCTCAATTGTAATCAAAGAAATTCAAATTTAAATAGTAAAGTACCATCTTTAAAAAAAAAAAAAACTACCAGTTTGCCAAAGATTTAAAAACAAACAAATAAATCCTGAATATTAAAAGGACACAGTAGTTATGGCAATAATATAATGCTGGTGAATTAATTTAGTCTTCCTGATGATAATTTGGCAACGTTTCAATTCCCTGTCAAGTAATCTACCTAAAGGAAATAATCAAAACATCAAAAGCTTATGAACAAAATTTTACATTAGAGTACTATGTACAAAACTTAGAAACAACCTTTATGTTTAACAATAGAAACATGGTTAAATGAATTTTTGAACAGTTATTTAATGGATTATTAAAACTACTTAATAATATTAAATGACATGAGAAAACTTTCTACAGAGAAAAATATCAAGTAAAAAACTAAAACAGAAAATTATTTCTGTATCATAAGCATAACTTTTAAAAATAAATATCTATTGTGGTTAAGATGGTAAATCCTGAAAAGTCACCACTTGGGTTCACAAATCTTATCTCCTCCATTTATTAGTTGTGTAACCTGGGCCCTGGTACATAACTTTTCTAAGACTCATCTATAAAATGGACATTATCAGAGTAGTATAATGCCCATATCAAAGTAAGCACTCAGTAAATGCAAAGTGCTTGCAACAAACAGTAGCACTAGTATTTGTGAGCACCAGAAAAAGAAGACTAGGTGGAATTATATGAGATCAGAAATGGGTGGCTTATATTCATTTTAATTCCCTGAATTTTTAAATTCCCTAGAGTAACCATAAAATTATGTTAAATGAATTACAAAAGTAATGTAAACAGAATAAACACAGTAGATCCAATCTAAGGCATTTTATGTCTTCACTATGAATTTGCTCCAAAAGTTAAATAATGAAAGCATACTTACTATGAATGTTAGTAAATAAAAGTAAAACATCACTTATTATATGCAATATTCATTATTTTACTTACAGAGTCTCCTGTCTTGGCTGAGACAAAGTGGCTACTAAAACCATTTTCCTGGCAAAACCGTAAGTGTTTTTCAGGTTTTACTGTTCGCATATGCTCCAAATCAACTAGAAAGGTGTTAAAGAGAGAACAGACTTCAATATTAGAGTCAAGCAAAACATTTTTAACATGTTTAGATATGACTTATTTTTCAATATTACATCCCAGTTTAGACACTAGCTATGTAATCTTAGGAAATTTGCTTCACCTCTTCATGCCTCGGTTTTCACATCTTTAAACTGGGAATACTAAATATACCTAACTTTATACAGAGAGTTATTTGAGAATTAATCCATATAGTGCACAATGACCACCACATAAGAGCTAAAAAAAAAAAGTGAGTTATCATTATCATCGACATAGGTTCAAGCACATTCATAATCCTCAATAATGATCTACTTAATAAGGTACATTTAAAGATGATTAACTGAAGGCAAAGTACTTACCTAAGCATATTTGGTTTGAAACAGTTTAATTACTGTAACAACTAGAACAGCTCTGTAATTTCTATAAACCGTTAATGTTAACAAATAATTAATTTTTTGCTAAAGAGGTCAATACTATAATTGCATATTTACATTAACTTATTTATAATCACAGTTTAATTTTGCAAAGATATAATTCAGTAGCTTTACAAATCTAAAGCATCCATTATGAGAGTAATAGGCAGGAAATATGCCCTTGAATAGTCATAGACGCTTTAAAGCAAAGCACAGTCCTCATAACCAATTTTTATGCAGTACAGTCGATTTTTTCAAATGTAATCCTTTATTGAATAGTTTCTCTTTTACAGCACTACAAACCCTATAAGGTGTTGACTCAATGCCGACAAATTATAAGGCAAATATATTCATATGATTTAAGGACAACTAGGCTCTTTGAGTCAATATAGGAAAAAAACGTAAACTGATTTCCTGAGGAAGGGACCCAACTGACTTGTAAAAACTTGTAAATTTGCAAATCCAGTCAGCTTACATAATAGTGGCAATTGATTATCAACTAAAAAATGCTCTCATACTACATAAAATTAATTTAAATTTTTATTTAAAATTATATTGAAGGTCTTGAGTCTGTAGGCTCAAGAAATCTTTTTCTAGAAGATTTTTTATCTACTGGGGGATTCCTGAACCCCATTTTTATAATGCTTACCTTGGAAAATAGGGAGTTTTTTTTCTCTTCTGGCCACAGTTGGGATTCCTAAAAAAATCACTAAGACCTTATTTACAAGAAGAAGCTGAGAAACATCCAGATACTACAGGCATCAATTTGTGGAAGACTAAAATACTAAGCTATTAGCACTGACATTTATATATCTAGTTTATCATAATATTGATGCTAAAATACTTCCCTAATTCAACAAGAGTAAGAACAAACCATGTCACGAGGAAAAATCCCCAGTGAAATCACTAACCCATTTAAAAAAAAGGAAGTTGTGTCATTTAATGTATGTATGCATTTGTCTTTTCTAATGGAATAGTCTGTCATTGTGTTTTTCTCTCTTTTCTTCCTCTCTCCGTCTTTCAAACTCTCCATCCATCACATAAGTTTATCTACAGCTTTGAAAGATTTATAATTTATAATTCAAACAAAGTTTTACTCCTAATAAATTTTAAAATGAAGAGACTAGTACTATCACTGGTTTAAAAAAAAATCACTTATCACACAAGCATAAGAATGGGAAGAACAGATACTGGGGATTCCTAAAGGGTGAAGGGAGGCAGAGGGCAAGGGTTAAAAAACCACCCATGGGTACATGCTCTCTACTTAGGTGATGGCCTCAACAGAAACACAGACTTTTACCATAGGGGCTGCCCAATCTTAGACTTCCTAGCTTCCAAAATCATAAACCAAATAAACTTTTCTTTATAAATTACCCTTTGTCCAGGCATTCTGTTTTAACAATGACAACAACAATAAAACAAAAGGACTAAGAACAGATAAGCCAGGGACCAGATCACGTAGGATGTAAACGATACGGAGAGATATTAGAGGGTTTAAGCAAAAATTAAAAAGATACAATCTTACATTTTAAAAGATTCATTTTTAGCTGCTTTTTTGAAATTAAACTATAGAAGCCAAATATAAAGCAGAGAGGCCACTGAGGAGGTTACTGTAAAAACCTAGACAAGAGTCATTCCTCTCAAACTTTGCTGCTGCTTTATCAACTAAGTTTATGGAATATTCTGAATTCTTTTTCATTATTTCAGCAATGTTCACAGCATCTTCACTGGGAGAAACCATTTTCTTTGCTCGTCCATAAGAAGCAACTCCTCATTCATTCAAGTTTTATCCAGAGACTGCAGCAATTCAGTCACATCTTCACACTTCTCTTCTAATTCTAGTTCTCTTGCTACTTCCACCATATCTGCAGTTACTTCTTCCACTTGAATCTTGAATCTCTCAATATCATCCATGAGGGCTGGAACCAACTTCTTCTAAACTCCTGTTCACGTTAATATTTTGACCTCCTCCCATGAATCACAAATGTTCTTAATAGCATTTGGAATGGTGAATCCTTTCCAGAAAGTTTTCAATGTGCTTTGCCTAGATCCATCAGAGGAATAACTAACTATGGTACCTGTAGCCTTATGAAATGTATTTCTTTTTTTTTTTTTTTTTTTTTTGAGCTGGAGTCTCACTCTGTCGAAGACTGGAGTCACCGCAGCCTCAACCTGCTGGGCTCCGGCGATCCTTCCGACTCAGCCTTCCGAGTAGCCGGAACTACAGGCGCACGCTACCACGCCCAGCTAATTTTTGATTTATTATAGAGATGAGGTCTTGCCAAGTTGCCCAGGTGGGTCTCGAACTCGAGGGCTCAGGCAATCCACTCACCTCAGCCTCCCAAAGGTGGGATTACAGGCTGAGCCACCAAGCCCGGCTTAAAAAATGATTTATTTAAGAATCTAACTACTCAGTGGTTTTTCTTCTTTGAAAAACTTACCCATGGCAGATCTTTCTGCCTTGAATCTTCCTCCTTTCTTCTTTTTTTCTCACTAATAAACTTAGTATAAAAACTTTTTAAAAACTTGCTACTCTCGTACAAAGAGAATAATGTTTTCGTGTCTGCTATACAATATTCATTCTGCAGCCCATGCATCAAAGAAATATTTTCAACTTCCAGGTCTTATTATTAAGAAATACATTTCAGCAGGGCTTGGTGGCTCAGCCTGTAATCCCGCGCTTTGGGAGGCCGAGGTGAGTGGATTGCCTGAGCCCGCGGGTTCAAGAACCGCCTGGGCAGCGAGACCTCATCTCTACAATAAATAAAAAATCAGCCAGGCGTGGTAGCGCGCGCCTGTAGTTCCGGCTACTCGGAAGGCTGAGGCGGAAGGATCGCCACAGCCCAGCAGATTGAGGCTGCAGTGGCCAGGAGCCCTCCAGTCTGGGTGACAGAGTGAGACTTCAACTAAAAATAAATAAATAAATAAATAAATAAATAAATAAATAAATAAATCATTTTCTGAGCAGTAGGTCTCAACTGTGGGCTTAAAATATTCAGTGAACCATGCTATAAACAGATGAGTTGTCATCCAGGCTTTGTTGTTCTATTTATAGAGCACAGGCAGTCAATTTAGCATAATTCTTAAGAGTTCTAGGTTTTTTAGAATGGTAAATGAGAACTGGCTTCAACTTAAAATTACCAACTGCATTAACCCCTAACAAGAGAGTTGGCCTGAACTTTGAAGATTTGAAACCAGGCATTGAACTCTCCTCTCTAGTTATGAAAGTTCTGGATGGAATTTTCTCCCAATACAAGTCTATTTCATTCTATATCGAAAATCTGTTGTTTAGTGTAGCCACCTTCATCAATGATTTTAGCTAGATCTTCCAGATAACTTGCTGCTGTTTCCACATAAGCACTTTCTGCTTCACCTCTCATTTTTATGTTATGGAGACGACTTCTCTCCTTGAACCTCATGAACCCAACATAGCTTCCAAATTTCTTCTGCAGCTTTCTCATTTCTCTCCACCTTCACAGAATTGAAGAGGGTTAAGGCCTTGCTCTGGATTAGGTTTGATTTAAGGAAATGCTGTGGATGATTTCATCTTCTATCCAGACCACTAAAATTTTCCCCTATCATCAATATGGCCATTTCATTTTCTTATTATACGTGTGTTCACTAGAGTAGCACCTTAAATTTCCTTCAGAAACTTTTCCTTTGCATGCTCTACTTGGCTGTTTGGCACAAGAGGCCCAGCTTTCAGCTTACCTTGACTTTCAACATTCCTTCCTCACTAAGCCTAGTCATTTCTTGCTTTTGATTTAAAGTGAGAGATATGCGACTCTTCCTTTTACTTGAACACTTAGAGGTCATTAAAAGGTTATTTAGGATTAATTTCAATATGTTGTGTCTCAGGTAAAAGGGAAGCCTGAGGAGAGGAAGAGACAGGTGAACAGTGAGAACACAAGCAACATTTATCAACTAACTTAATGGTCTTCTATGGGTACTATCTGTGGTACCCCAAAACAATTACAATAGTAACATCAAGGATCAATGATCACAGATCGCCACAATAGATATAATAACAATAAAGTTGGGCACAGTGGCTCAAGCCTGTAATCCCAGCACTTCGGGAGGCCAAGGCGAGAGGACTGCCTGAGCCCAGGGGTTTGAGACCAGCCTGGGCAACTTGGCGAGATCTTGTCTCTACAATATATCAAAAACAAAGCCAGGTGTGGTAGCACATGCCTGTAGTTCTGGCTACTTGGAAGGCTGAGGCAGAAGAAACGACTGAGCCCAGCAAGTCGATGCTGCGGTGGCGGTGAGCATGCCACTGCACTTCAGCCTGGGTGACGGGGCGAGACTCCAACTAAAAATAAATAAATAAACAAATAAATCTGAAATATTGTGAGAATTACCAAAATGTGACACAGAGACACAAAATGAGCACATGCAGTTAGTGCTGACAGACTTGCTTTACTCAGGGTTGTTATAAAGTTTCAATTGGTAAAAAACCAATGTTTGCAAAGCACAGTAAAATGAGGTAGATTTGTATTGGGTATTGAGTTATTGGCCAATAATAATATGAAGCTATGATTAGCAAGACAAGGAAATTCTAAGAATTATAATTGTGATTTTGGTCACATCATATGTAACCAAATAGTCATAAAAGTATGTTACATTTAATAATAAGTTGTGAAGCCTCTTTTGTGTTTTTACTTACTACTAGGGAAAAATAAAAACAAATACAACTTGTATTATTGGAGAAATGTACTTTCTTTTGCCACTAAGTGGCTCACGCTATACCTGAAAAATAGTATGAAAACAAAAAATGCATTCTCCATTGTCAATACATTTTGTTGGAAGATACAAGGAAAGCACTAAGACTAAAGTATTAGCACTACTTACATAGCATGGAAGGTTTACTACACATTTAGGTGAAAGACTACTTGAACATGCCAACTTATGGTATTTGCTGTATTCTCCTTCAACAGTGAAATCTGAAGAAAACAACTTTCTGTGAAGAACTAAAGAAAAAAACGATTTATGTTTTCAGCTCAATTGTATCATCAATTAAAAAAAAACATTTGGATGGAGTGGTTACTTTGACTGGAATATAATTCTGACAGCACCACCACTTTTGAAGCTAGAAAGTATATGTGCTTCTAAAGACACTGCCCACTCAATGCAAAAATGGTTAAGGGAACTGTTCATTTTTCCTCCCTGTCTTTTCCCAAGTCAAATTATAAACTTCATAACCCAAGAACTTGCAGTGTCAATTTTCACATCACTATAATTCAATATTTTATAACTTTTTTAAACAAACATGGTGTTATTCTAACATCTCTGCTTTAGGATAGCAAGATTTGCTTGGAGAGTCAAATAAGCCATAAAAGAAATGCTAATTAAGAGCATCAATTTATTGCTTAAATACCTAGCCTTCCAAATAGAACAGAAAGCAATATAAGGATATATAAAGAACTCCTACAACTCAACAAGAAAAACCCAATAACCCAATTTAAAAATGGTCAAAAGATTTGGGGAGATATTTCTTCACAGGTGATATATCATCAGAGAAACGCAAATGAAAACCACAAATAAATATCACATCAAACCCAAGAATTATAAGGATGTGGAAAAATTGGAACACTGTTTTTGTTGGTGGGATTATAAAATGGTGCAACTGTTATAGAAAATAGTATGGGAATTTCTCAGAAAAATTAAAAATAGAACTAGCATATGATCTAGAAATCCTACTTCTGGGTATACATCCAAAATAACTGAAAGCAGGGTCCTGAAGAAATATTTGCACATCCATGTTCATAGCAGCACTAGTCACAATAGTCAAGAGGTGGAAGAAAACCAAATGTCTACTGATGAATGAATAAGTGAATGATATGTGGCATATACATACAACATTATCCAGCCTTAAAAATAAAGGAAATCCTGTCACATGCTACAACATGAATGAACCTTGAGGGAATTATGGTAAATGAAACAAGTCAGTCACCAAACTCAAATTCTGTATGATTCTACTTATACGAGGCAACTAAAGTAGCCAAATTCATAGAAACAGAAAGTAGAATAGTGGTTACCAGGGGCTGTAGAAAGGGAAAAGGGAAGTTGTTTAGCAGCAGTAGTTTCAGATCTGCAAGATGAAAATGTTCTGAAGCTGTTTCACAACAATGTGAACACATTAACATATTAACTGAACTGTATGCTTATAAATGGTTAAGATAGTAAATGTGCTTTTTTTTCATCACAATTTTTAAAAAACTGATTTCCAAAGACAGAGTTTCTGATAATCAGCCACTCTCAAAGATGTTAATGGAAAATGTCAGATTTACACAGAAGTAAAATAAAGAGTATAACGACTCTTCAAGTACCCATCACTCAGCCTCAACAACTGTTAAGTCATGGTCAGTCTTATTTCATCCTTACTCACTCCCAGATTAATTTAAAGCAAAGTGAACACAAAATCACTTCATGCATGAGTATTTTAGTTTCCATATTTTTAAAATGTTTTATTGTTATTTCATTGAGGTTTACAGCTTTGATTGAGAAGGAACAGATTAGAATTTTTAATCTTTCATCTTCCATTTGGCCCTGCTGATTTCAGTAGAACACCAACTTCCTAAAATCATGTGATGGTTCAAAATGTATTTGCTGGATAACATCCAGGATAAAGTGGCCTGTAGCTTAGGATGTAGAGACAGATTTTTTTTTTTTTTTTTTGAGTTGGAGTCTCACTCTGTCACCCAGACTGGAGTGCAGTGGCCGCTCCCGGCCACCGCAGCCTCGACCTGCTGGGCTCCGGCGATCCTTCCGCCTCAGCCTTCCAAGCAGCCAGAATTACAGGCATGCGCTACCACGCCCGGCTGATTTTTTGAGTTGTTGTAGAGATGAGGTCTCGCTGCCCAGGCGGGTCTCGAACCCGCGGGCTCAGGCAATCCACTCACCTCAGCCTCCCAAAGGCGCGGGATTACAGGCTGAGCCACCGAGCCTGGCTAGAAACAGATTTTAATGAGTAAAAGTAAATAGTGCTAAATAAACAGTAAACAATTCGGATAAAAATCACAGTATATCAAATAACTTCATAAAGAAAGTATCATTACAGCAAATTTTTTTTCCTGTCCCAAGAGATGATCTTTGTTACTATTGACCCAGACATGATAGAGTATATACAAGAACTCATCCCATATGATTTTCTCGATTTCTCAATTGTTTGCACTGAGGTAAATACAGAAGAAACTTGGGCTGAATATGGCTGTGGTTCTCCAGTTATTCATGGATTCATTTAGGGAGGAAGTAGAGAGTGGAGAATCATTCTCCAATAGTGTGCAAGGATTGCCTTTCCTTCATATTCTGGCCAGCATTTGTTATCTCTTATCTTGTCCATAATAATGCAGTGCTGGGGTGTGCAATATTTTGGCTTCCCTGGTCTGCATGGAATAAAGAGGAATTGTCTTGAGCCACACATAAATTATATGATACAGTTAGTG